CTGTTTAAAATAAGAAATTCCGTTACATAATCCGTTAAAACAACAAATTCCGTTAGTTTTTCCGTTAAACCAACAAATTCCGTTAAATAGGCACTTTTTATATATAGAAAGATATGAGGGGACAAACATGTCTTTTATGCTCTTCAACAATTTTTTGGATAGATATCATCATTAGTGGCAAGATGTACTACTTAGTGAAGATCATCAATAAGAATACAAAAAGTTAAAAATATAAGTGCAACAATAAGCAAATATTGAGAATATTTATTGCAGTTAAAGTATGGTGCAACTAAAGTGAAGTTCACTATTCAAATTAAAATAAATTAAAGTTTAATGACCCATTTGAAATTTTGCTAAAGTTAGTAGCAGCGGATGAAATTTATCGGAGAAACTCCCGCACTACGTAATAACAATTTATCTTTCTTATATATATATATGAATGATAAGGATATACATAATAATAATAATAATAATAATAATAATAATAATAATAATAATAATATTTTACAAGTAAAACATGCAAAAATAATACAAAAGATGCAATATCATCTTCAACCTCCACTCGTGGGTAAGGGTTCTTTTGGTACTAGTAGTATCCCACCCCCACCCCCAGCAGTTGTTGAAAAAGTTATTGGCAAAATCAATCCAAAAAGTATCACAAACAAAATTGCTTTTGATTTTTTTTTTCTCATACTACAAACTAATGGACTAAGTATAAATTATTTTTTAATAAATAATAATTATTTCATATTATACAAAATTTATATCTCACTTAAAAAAAACCACAATAATTTTAATATAAATTACGTATATTATGTGCATATTATTTCATTAAACAAATAAATGACACGTGAACAAAAAAATAAATGATTAAGAAAAATAAAATAGATAATGATGGAGGATATGTTTAATTGGCCGTGGGGGTCATACAAAGATAACAGTTTTACTTTCCTTTACCATTTTTATAATTAGGAAATATTTTACAAGTTTAAAAGTTCAATTAAAAGTATTTTTGATATTTGGGAGTTGTTTATAATAAGTTTATTTTATAAATAAATAAATAAAAATAAGTGGAGAATAAATGACTGATACTTATACATTTCTTGAAATGTGTGAATAAAAAAAACTTTGATCGATTATAAACAGCTAATAAGCATGGTCCAAACATGAGCTAAATATATGTACTCCCCATAAAAGTTGGATGTAGAGTTTTTCTGAAAAGCTCGAATTGAGTTTCTCCAAAACAACTTTAAAAAGATGTTTTTTTGATTAAGTAACACTTTTTTTTACTTCAATCGAACTCCAAAAGAAGAACTAAATCGATTAATCGAGAGAAATCGGGAGGGGATCGAATTTTTTATATTTTATTTTTTACATAAATTTAAATCATAACAATTTTGATTCGCCCGTTTGTTTCTCATTTTTTATCCATAAAAATGACTATTATGATCTATATTCATCACATCAAGCCATCAATTTTGAATTTTTATTTCTTGTGTGGGGTCCAATAACGATTATATTTTTCATTCTCATTTTACAATAATGAAAACGGGCTCTAAATCTTAAATAAGCATTGCAGTCACTGTATAGGTGCAACTGCAGGCGGCTACTATAACCTCATTTCACGCTTTCCAATGAAACGGATAAACTGAAGCCACTCCCCTATCTTGTCTCGTTGCTCTAAATCGCATTACAAATTCTGTTCTACAAGTCGCTTGTGGAAAAAAGCAACTTCAGTTGAAAACACACACAAAGGAACAGTAGGTAAACTTCTCTGCAATTAACCTATAAATAATAAAATTCACTGAAAAATCCTAGAGAGAGAAAGTAGAGAGAGACGGCTATGGAGTTTGAGGTGAGAGTAGTAGGGGGAATAGAGAGTTGTTATGTATCTCTCCCACTCTCACTCATCCAAGCCCTACAGTCCAGTTATCTTCCTCCAATTCTCGCAGTTGAACTTCGCTCCGGTGCTAACCTCTGGCATGTGGCGTGGTCTGGTTCCCTTTCCTCTTCATCTCCTTCCTCAATTGAGGTGAGTTTGGTTAATAATTCAGTTATTTATTTGATGATTTTTGTTATCTACAGTCGCGGTGGAAAAAAAAATTGCGTTTTTGGTTGTAGATTGCTAAGCAGTATGCGGAGTGTATTGGATTGAGCGACCGGACGGTGGTTAAAGTACGAATTGTTAGTAATTTACTGAAAGCTACGCTTGTGACGGTTGAGCCTCTCACGGAGGATGATTGGGAGATTCTCGAGCTCAATTCCGAGCTTGCTGAAGAAGCTATTCTGAAGCAGGTATTCGCTNGGTGGAAAATATTTTCCGTGGAAAATTTCGCCTATCAAACAACCAAAAAAGTGGAAAGTGAAAAATATTTTCTTAGTTCCTTGGAAAATAATGCCAATCAAATATTGCCTTAGAGTAAGTGGGTATGAGCTACTTGGTCATGTTGTTAAAAGAAAAATAACCTGTTTGTTTTCACATTTGACAAATTCTAGACTAACTGAAGACTTTAAATCCTCTATTCACTGTATGCAGGTCGGGATTGTCCATGAAGAAATGAAATTTCCTCTGTGGTTGCATGGACAAACAATTGTTAATTTTCTTGTTGTCTCAACCTTCCCCAAGAAACCAGTAGGTAAAGTATATTCTACTACTTCTCAACTCCTTGAGATCACTTTGACTTTATTGTTTATATTCAATTTTGAATAATGGTACTTATTATGCACCCGTTTGGCCCCCATTTCGTAGAACCCATTTTCCCCAAAGTTTATTTTCGACCATACATTTCATGGAAACCACAATTTTTATCAACTTTTCAATTACACATTTCACCAACTTTTATCAAAATCTACTAAAAAATCTGATTTTATCCAATCCAAACTGGGGCTATGTATCATTCCATATTGGATATGAGAGAATTTAGTGTTGGTTATATGTGAGTGTGATGGGGTTGTGTAACAACTTTGGTTAACCATTTTGATTTTTGACAAAGAGAGAGAAAGTGCCATGTAGTCTGTATGACCTATATGCATACTCTTACATATATTTGATTTTGAATTGATAATATGCATAAGCCTAAATCGTTGAATCCACAATGGTGAACTTGTTGGTGGAGCAGTTGGTTTCATGTATCAAGGGAGACTTGAGAGTTAGAGAAACTGACATGCATTAGAATTAATAATGCTAGTAGTTCTCTTCCACATGATAAGAAGATAAATGGTTTGCAGCAGAATTTGCTTTGTACTTTTCAGCTACTGCCTTTTTGGGTCTTAAGTATAATGTTTGCATACCTTTCTGTGCATCAACTTACTGATATTAGCTTCTACAGACGGTTGTAGTTGGATGCTTGAACCCCATTTTACATTGTGTATATTCTTGAGGTGGTCGAATATTTTTGAATAACTATCTCTGATGTGTGAGATTGTTATCAGTCCAACTTGTTCCTGGAACTGAAGTAGCAGTTGCCCCAAAGAGACGCAAAAGGATATTAGATCCTCTTGAAGATTCGTCCATGCAAGCTTTAAAGAGAGATCATTCCATCACAAAAGCACTACTGAGAGTCCAAAATTCAGACTCTAGATTTCATCATAACTATAAGGTGGATGGTATCAAGATGGATGTCGTCTTCACTTCTGCTGTCTTTATTCATCCAGAAACAGCAAAAAAATATTCTTTCAGTTCTTCCCAGTTAATGGTGATATCTCCAAGATTTCTAACAAAAGAGAGCAAGAAAAATCATGAAACAGAAGGTCTACATATTAAAAGCAGTTCCACTGAAAAGGAAGTCAACGGTGGAATTCTTGCTGATAAGCACGATAACCATCGAGCTATTGTTCGTCTATTATTCTCAGAGTCAGTGGCAAGAGGACACGTAATGCTTGCCCAGTCTCTTCGACTTTATCTGGGAGCTGGATTACATTCATGTACGTTTATTCTGTGCACATCATCGTTTCTATATTCAAACACTACTTTTGCAATATTTGTGTCGCTGCATTTTATTGTATAAAATTACATATTTCCTGCAATGGAATTTCGTTTTCGGCCAGTTAGATGTATACTTGCATGTTATTGTTGTATGTCACTCTCATGAATAAAAAGATGGATAATTCGGGAAGAAATGTGGTAGACTGCAATTATGCTTATACATGACTAGCAATAGCATTTTGATTTGCTAGAAACAACCATTACCCGTCTACTTATTCCTTACAGGCAAGTTCATCTCTCGGTTCATATTCTAGATTTGCTATCTTTTGGCAATTTGATTCTTCATAGCTGAATACTTTAACATAGATTTGAATTTGTTTTACTACTGTAATAAAGACTTGAATCACATCTTCCAGGAAAAAAACTAATCATTTTTGATTTAGGGTTCGTTTTTCTTCATTTAATATTGAGATAGCCATTCATTGTTTCTAGAGCATTTACCTAAACATTCATAATTACTTGAACTCAGTCTGTTCAGCTGTTATCTTCGAGATTGAAAGAAGAATTTTTCTCGATATCTTTTTATCTCTTTACCCTGTAAATGTTTCTATGCACCCTAAATCGTTCCTCCCCATTCTTTTTTCTTAAATTTGTCAAGCGCAGCCTTTTTATGAAATACTTTCTTTTGGCTTTCAGGGGTGGATGTGAAGAGTTACAACATTAACACGAAAAAAGACATTCCTTCAGTTTCAGTTTCACCTTGCCAATTGAAGTCATTTCCAAAGAAGCAAGCTTTTGCAAATAATGGTGCAGAATTTCGAAATGGCCAAAGTAATCATAAAACAAAAGACGTTCTTCTCAGGACCAACACAAATGCTGAAATGGGTGCTGGAGGTTGGTCAACCCATGAGAAGATTTTTGCGTCTCTGTTTGCTGAATCTTGTGGCAATGGGACTGAAGAAATTGATACCAGGGCCAGAACTAAAAGGGCTGTATCTACTCTTGTGCGTGCATGGTGTCAAGCTCAAATTGATTCCATAGTTTCGAGTACAGGGTTAGATATCAATTCTTTGGTTATTGGAAACAAATCATTAATTCACTTGAAAGTGAAGGGTTACAGACTAGCCAATCATGGTAACGTACAAAAACCTAATGGCCATTTCCCAAAAACCAGGAATCAAACTGAAGAACCAGATGTTGATGTCCTATATGTTTTGTCACTCTTTGACGATTCTCTGCATGGTGAAAGTCTTGATGCATACGAACTTGTATTTGATGAAAAAAGCAGGGACAAAAGTAGTTCGAGAAATTTAGATGTTTTGCTTGAAAAGCTGCAATTGGGTGATGCTGTATCTATTCGTGCTGTCCAAGAAACGCCCTCTGATAGAACTCTTGGCATGACAGTTTCCTCGTTAGATTGGATGGGTTCAGCTGCATCTGATGTCAATAATAGTAGGTATTTTATCATCATTTTATTTTGATGACTATCAATATAATTTTCTGATCTACTATGTGGAGGCGGACTTTATTCCCCCGAGAAGATAACCTTTTTGTCATTGCAATCTGTCGTAACTAGGAATGGTGGCATCTTGTCCACCTTCTGGCTCTATTATTCTTGGAAGTTATTAAACATTCTTAAAGATGAGACATGAAGTAAAATATATGAAATGTAGTCTTTTTACTCTTAAAATTTTTTTTTTTAGAGGTCTTATTTTTTAGGGATGCTTTTGAAAAATGAGCATCATTATTGGTCCTTAATATCTGTTACTTGGAAGTATCTATAGGTACTTTGCTAGTTATAAGGAAGGGGGTACGATGACTGATTCTATGCCCTTGTTTGACACCCATTTTGTTTGAAAAATAATTTTTGGGATAGTGATTGATGGAAGATTGTGTGGTTAAAAAGTAAGGAGAATTTTTGTGTTTATGTGTAATATTATTTTATTAATATAATGTGTGGTTGAAATGAAAAAAGAGAAATAGAACGAGAAAAAAATGAGTGTCAAACAGGGGCTATATCTCAATACTTGGTGGTGAAATGGTATACACTCGAAACTCAAAATCTCACACTGAGAGCGTGGTTGTTTGAGTTTTCTTCTGAGCATAAACAATTTGAATTTATGGTGCTTTTGTTGAGTGTGTGGATGTTCCTATTTCCTAGGGATGCTTTTGGAGAATGAATTTCGTATGATTCTGAATATATGTTCCTCTCAAGTATCTATAAGTACTCTCCTAGCAAGGGAAATGGGGAATGATCTATATTTCAATACCTACTTTAACCCTTCACCTTTTAATGACTGATTCTAATCATTCCTCCCAACCTTCCAACATGGTATATATTAATCTCGTCACCAAGGATTTCACTTGTTATAATCAACTGATGATGTGCTGCTTTTCTAAGACCATTCTTATGTAAAAGCGCAAAGTAGTCCACATCCCTCACCTCAGGGCGAATGCATGCATATTGATTGCAGTAGGTGAAATACATTTAATATAAATAAAAAGATTTACGAGTGTGAGCATGTCTTTCCAGGTACTTCCACCCCCGGATATGAGAGGTCTAGTTGTGGTGTTTGAACATTAAGTTAAAATTTTCATTTCAGCTTTAGCAAATAGAATGTGTAACATATGATTGTAATATTCGTGTTTGACCACAAAATGAACTACTTCTTACGTACTCCTTGATCTTCCTTTTCTAAAATTGTGAGTAACCTGCAGGGTTGACTGCTTTGTTATCTCCTACTTCTGGGATGCTGTTCAGTACTTACAATCTTCCAAGGCCGGGGCATATTCTTATTTACGGACCCCCAGTAAGTTTCACCATTAAGCCTCTGTTTGTAAAATTTATAAATAATTTATAAATGGTCAAATTTCATTTCAACCACGAATTCCAATGACCCACAAGTACTATCCATTTATCCTTTACTCATTTCTATCTATTTATAAATTAAACTGTTTATAAATTCTTCCCAATGAAGGCTAAAGTTGTGATTTTCATTTTTCCTTCTTTTATTTTTTATTTTTTTTGAGTTGATATGTTGGATAGAAATGGAAACATCAAACATTTGAGCTCTTTCAGCTTTACCTCAATTATTTCCTATGTTCCTTTCTCGAAGGTTCAGTATTTGAGCTTGAGGAGTTCTGTGATGCCATAGGGTTTGGGAACTATGACATGGGGGTGGGGAATGAAGATAGATAAAGGACAGCTGATGAATACTAGTGAAGATTAGATCCACTTTTCCATTTCTTTCATCTCTTTATGTCTAATATGTCAGCAAGATCATCAAGAGAAAAAATAGTACTAAGTTTCTGTCTTATGTGGAAAATTGAAAGAACGCTAGTATCTCCTTTGTCTGTGTCTTTGTCGACAAGCTCTGAAGACTTTAGGAGATAACTAAGTTCTTGGTAGGTGATAGAAAGGGTTAAAAGTACAGAGCAGTTGCTGAAAAATTACTTTCAACATTTTCTTTGTTTCATTTTATTGATCTATTGTTATACACTCTTTATCTATATGATTAAGCCACTGGAAGTAATTAATACAAAGGCAACTTGTGAAACACAATGATGTATTCGCAGCACTTTTACAAATTAATTAAGGTTCATTTTCTTTCATTATGTACACTGTTCACTTGTCTATATTGAAGGAATGAGTTACGATCCCTGATCTCTGAAATTGATACAAGAAGGCAAAATGATTTAGTTAACTTTTGTAGCATGGATCAAATTAACGAAGAAACTCTCATTGATATCTTCTTATCTGCTATGCATTTCGGACATATAGGGTTCAGGAAAAACGTTATTGGCCAGAGTCTCTGCGACGTCTGTTGAAGGACATGAAGACATCTTGGCACACATGTAAGGAAATTTGCATGCAAATGTTTCCTTTACTTTCTTTCCTCCTAGGATCATGTTTGGGACATAATATCATGGTTTGAGGTGACATCAAACATCCTGCTTGTGCCTTATCACTTCGTGGGAACCTCATTTTTATAGTTACATGAGTTTGTGTACTTGGCAAAGTCGTACAATTTCATTATTATAATGGTTTTCCTGCTGCAGAGTTTTTGTATCTTGTTCCAGACTTGCTTTAGAGAAGCCTCCAAGCATTCGTCAGGCACTTTCCAGCTACATATCTGAAGCTTTAGATCATTCGCCCTCTGTCATCATCTTAGATGATCTTGATAGCATTGTTGCCTCTTCCTTGGAGCTGGAAGGATCTCAACCTTCATCCTCTTCAGCTGCACTCATAGAATTTCTTAACGATATATTAGATGAATATGAGGCAAGACCCTTGTTTCCTCCCCATTTTTAATTAGTTCTGTGCTTTCTGATGGTCATTGAACTTTTGTAGTGCTTGAACCGGAGCTTCTCCATATTTGCATTATCTTCGACCTGCTGATTAATCATGATATAAATGTGATGTAACTTTCAGATAATTGGAAAAAAAAGTCCTTTTTTTGCTTTGTTAGTCTGAACCATGCCTTTTCCTTACTAGATGTGGTTTCCTGAGAATAAATTACTACTCAATATTCGTGATTTTCAAACATATATAAATACATATGATAAATAAAGAAGACTTCTGCTGGATTATGTTACAGCAATAGTTGACTCTGCATTCACTTTCTCCAGCATCTTGTATTCATTTTTCTCTAACTCAAAGATGCTGAAGAAGAGATTAACACATATTTTGTCATTTGATGACATTCAACTCAAAGCTCCCATCATCTGGTGGGACATGCTTTCAGTTCATTTCCATTCTATCTGTCTGCTGACTTGAAAGGAAAGATTACTAGGATACTGGTGAACATGAATTTTCAGATTATTCTGCCATAACTTCCTTATGATCTATTACTAGCTGGCCGTACCTCTTTAGTTGGAAACTTACCGCCTACTGATACCTGTAGCTTTTTGAGTTCTACTATTTTGCCTGTTCTGATTATTTGGTTGAATATAATGACTCAAAAGATTTAAAGATGCTGATCATTATTTCTCTGTCTGGCTTAAAGTTTGCGATAACTTACACTTGTCACAAATTTCTTTGAAAATGGCACATTTTAGCATGATATTCTTAAGATTTCACACGTAGCTCTATACTGATGGCTTGGTTTTGCAAAATCAGGAAAAAAGCAGGACTGCTTGTGGAATTGGCTCCATTGCTTTCATTGCTTGTGCGCAGTCCCTGACTAATATTCCACAGAGCTTGAGCTCTTCTGGTTAGTCATTCTGAAAACAAGATGTTCATTTTGTTTTCGTGGTAATAAATTCTGTGTTTCTGCCTCAAATATACAGTGTTATGATAACCTGCTCTTACACCTACAAATTTATTTGACCAGGGAGGTTTGATTTTCATGTTAAGCTGCCTGCTCCAGGTGCCTCAGAACGTTCTGCTTTATTGAAGCATGAGATCCAGAAGCGATCCTTGCAATGTTCCGATGATGTGTTGTTAGATATTGCATCCAAATGTGATGGATATGATGCTTATGATCTGGTATTTGGTTAATATAAACATTGAACAATAGTTTCTTATACTACTTGTGGTTTTTGATAAAATTCTCTAACTTCATGATATTTTGATCGTATCCTTGATTATCTGCTTGTGTGAAAAATAGCATGAAATGATTAATGACATTAAGGCATGACTACATTGATTTTCACTTTATAAACCTGGAACTATTATGTTAAAATATCCCACCCCCATGAAATTGCTCTAAAAGCTTCGGTTGATACTAATAGGATAAGAGGATGTTGTTAGTGATAGCATGTTGTTAATTCTTGAAGTCATGATCACAAAAGATTAATATAAGTGGGATATCTACTTGATCTTATATAGCTGAACACCTTATCCTTTTACCTGGAAGAAACCTAATTTGCACTTCTCCATTTTGTCCCTTGATAGGATAAAATTCTGCTGAGAAACAACGTAATGAAGAAGTATACCCTTTCGCAATGTGCTTGCCGTACTTATAATTTTCTGTTCCTCTAATCTGTTTCGTTGAGCACAAGTTTCTTTATTTAATAAATTTGGCTACTCCTGTGTTACTCATACTTCTGGGTGACCAGATATAATATTGTCATTTTCTGTGAGACCTTTGAAGAATTGTCAATTGTTTATCGGTCCAATTCTTCTTTGTGCATGTTTGCAAAATCAATCATAATTGTATTTTCTTTTGACGTATTTGAAGTTGTGGATATCTCTAGTTGCATTAGATATGGTTATGGTGTTGAACCTAATGGAGTGACGAAAAATAATTCATTTAGCCGGCACCAAATAATTCATTGGTGGATGAGGATCTCAACATTTGAATTAAATTTATTATTTACCAATTAATTAATATGACATGTTACTGGTGCCTAGCATAAGATGAGCACTTGAGCTCATTAGATCATTCCTATATATATATAAAACCACTTCGAGTAATATTTGAAGGATATAATTAGAAATACATTATCATTTCAGGAAATAACGTGCCTCATAAGGATATACTTAGAAACACACTGTCATTTCAGGAAATACTGGTTGATCGGTCAGTGCATGCTGCCATTGGTCGCTTTTTGTCGACTGATTTGAGCTTTCCCAAACATGAGAAACCTGCTTTGGTTAGGGATGACTTTTTGCTAGCAATGGATGATTTCCTTCCAATTGCTATGCGTGATATCACAAAACCGTCTAAAGACGGTGGTCGCTCTGGGTGGGAGGATGTTGGAGGGCTTGATGACATCCAGAACTCTATCAAAGAGGTAAATCTTAGCTGTTCGACCAGTTTCAGTATTTAGCATTTTGTTTTTGGAAATATTGAAATGCTAAGTCAATAAATTTCTGAACTCCAGCTCTGTTTCTTAGTAAAGTCTAGAGCTATGTAACTAGATTTGTAACTGGATGTCCTTTAGTTTGATGATATGCTATCATTACTTACTCTCAAGCACCTGTTTGATATATTGTGTTTGTGATTTCTGTTTTGTTCTCAGATAATTGAGTTACCTTCAAAATTTCCTAATATCTTTAAACAATCTCCACTGAGGATGCGGTCCAACGTTCTCTTATATGGTCCCCCTGGTTGTGGGAAAACACATATTGTCGGCACTGCTGCTGCAGCCTGTTCCCTACGTTTCATCTCAGTGAAAGGCCCTGAACTGTTGAATAAATATATTGGTGCTTCTGAGCAAGCTGTAAGAAAACAATAATCTTGTTACTCTATCCCATTTTCTATTTTCGAACTTTATTATATTTCCTGTTTCTTGTCTTTCTCAACTCCCATCTTTTGGTACTTTAAAAAGTTTCAAGTCATTGTTTATTGAATACCTGGAACTGCATTAAAACCTAGTTTTCTGTTTCAGTTTGCCTCGTGATGTTGAAGCTACCGCTACAGTTTATCAAACAGCGGGAAAATTTTAAAAGGATAATACTAAAGTAGATTTAGTCTCCTCTTCATCAAATAAAAAATTAAGGTTAACAGTTGGGAATTCCCAGATTGAAATGAAAAGAGATAATGTTTTATGGCTTCTTGTTCCTTGGGTGCAACCGTTTATTTTATCCTTTGGTTGGATCTCTTAATTGAATTGCCTGGTATATACTCATGTATCAATTTGTTATGTACTCAACCTGTGTTTCTTTGTGCATCCCCATTGTGTGAATAACTGTTGGGTCTTGGAGGACATAACCTCCACGCTACAACCATTTTCAGTAGGCAGCTGACTAATGTACATGCACTGTCTCAGGTTCGTGATATATTCTTGAAAGCAGCTGCTGCAGCACCATGCCTTCTCTTTTTTGATGAATTTGATTCTATTGCTCCAAAGAGAGGACATGATAATACTGGTGTGACTGATAGAGTAGTCAATCAAGTGAGTTTCTCCTTTATGTCCTATGCTGGATCTTCGTTTACTCTTTCCCTTTACCTTGGTCTTATATTCTTCTCTATTGACGTATTCATCCCATTTGTTTTCTAGTTTTTGACAGAACTAGATGGTGTTGAAGTTCTGACTGGTGTATTCGTTTTTGCTGCCACAAGGTTAGTTATGATGCTTGAATTTTTCTTTTTATTTTTTCTGATTTAATGTGTATATTTTTGTGGGTCTTCGAACCTACGTACTTTTATTTTCTGAGAAATGACTTGGTATATGCTATTTCTACGTTAGTGTTGAGGTTGTCTGGAAATTTCAACCCTTTGATTCTCTATGCATGTAATACTCATTATATTGCGTTGCATATTATTAACAGCTTTGATCTTATGTAATATACCATTTTCTTTGAACTTCCACACCAACGACTTAGGGATAATCAGTCAAATATAATCATCAGGTCGGCACAACTTAAGGATCATCAGTCAAATATAATCATCAGGTTGGCATGATGCACAAAAAAGATAGATTGAACCTATTTCTTACGGAGTGTAATATTTTGTAAAAGTAAATCACGAATGATTACACTAATGATGCGGATAGAAGTGGTTTATAGTTTGGAAACTTTTATGGGTCAAAAAACTATCTTAAAAATTGAGATTTCATTTAAGCTTTTCTTAACAATGTCTGAAATGGCACTTCATTAAAGTTCTATACTTTGACATAGATTACTGGGATTATCATGATACTTAATAAGTAGTTTCCTTTGATAATACAAATTGTTAGAAGTATACATAACACTAATTTTTTAGACACCCAAAATATTATGTATTTGTAACAAAATATGAAATTGAAGTTTAAGCAGAAGCGGTGGGAATTATTACCCTTTTCCTATAACGTGAAAAGCACTTGCTTTTATAGGGTAAACAGAACTAATTTAAAATGATGACATGAAATAATGTCAAAATATTGGAAGCAACATTACATATATCGTCATCCACATAAATCAATATCCTGAACCGCTAAGAGTCAACGGCCCACACCTGGAAAACAAATTCTACAACACAGAACTAATGAGTCACCTACTCGACAAATGAAAATTTTGCATACGCATATGAATGCCATTAGTGAATCATTTTATGAATTAAGATCCTCGTTTGTGCTTCTTTGGGGGGACAACGCATTTCTCATCATGATACATCATTAATGACCTTCATCCATGCTATGCTTTGACATTGGCATAGCATTATAATCATAATGGCTAATCTCATAAATAGACTCGTGGAGGTTGATGTGATTAACTACGCTTTGGTGAATTGTCCAACTACAATGCAGAATGAGATCATTATCATGTGAAATTTTCATGGAAACTCCAATCCATGTTCATGTGTTTCCAGTTTCCTTTTCTATGTAGCTCTTGTTAACCTCATGGAAGTGAACATGATTAACTTTGCTTTAATAAATAGCTCAGCTACTGTGCAAAATGAGATTGTTACTATTTGAATTGCCCATTAAATGTAGCTCGTTAACTTAGTCACTGTACCATGCATTTTTAAACCAAACAGTAGGCCGGATCTGCTTGATGCTGCACTTCTGCGACCTGGTCGGCTGGACCGCCTGTTATTTTGTGATTTTCCTTCGCAGCGTGAGAGGTTGGATATTCTTGCAGTTCTTTCAAGAAAGGTTAGTACTGATATTTGACAGAGAACCATTTTAGCATCATATTGTTTGTACTATAATCGCCATTATTGTCAACTTTCATAGAGGTAGAAAACCTGATTTTGGTGTTTTCATTGAATGAAATATCTTCCAATGTTATCAAATGAGAATATATTCTGAGTGATATCCACCACGCTTTAGTAATTTCAATGTGTTACACGTACTTGCTCTTTACAATTGCTGATAGATTGAATTATCTTTATATAGTATACGATACACTTGTTCAACTGCATTACTTCTGGTGTTAATTTAGATTTGGTACCCACATACTTTTTCAAATTCATTGTTGATTATAGAAATTGATTATTTCGACTGCAGTTACCATTGGCCGATGATGTTAACTTGGATGCAATAGCTCGCATGACTGAAGGTTTTAGTGGAGCTGATCTTCAAGCTCTTCTTTCTGATGCTCAACTTGAAGCAGTTCACTATTTTCTCGACAGCGAGAATGGCAGCAATCAAGGAAAGATGCCCGTGATCACTGATGCTCTTCTGAAGTCTATTGCATCCAATGCGAAACCATCAGTTTCAGAAACCGAGAAGCGGAGACTATATGATATTTACAGCCAGTTTTTGGATTCAAAAAGATCTGCTGCTGCACAGGTCTCTCTCTCTCTCTCTCAATTATATATGCATATCTCTGCGTATGTGCTAGTGTTCACACATGCTTGGATGTACATGCTGCACCAAGCAGGTTGAGTAGAGGGGTCAAAATGGGTAGACACGGAAAAAATAAAAACCCATTTTTTTTATGTATAGAATTGTTTATAGCAGATGAATAAAAAAAAAGGGAAAATGGCCCACACGAGTGGCGGCCAAAGCCTGTGAGTTTTGATATCACTAAACTAGAGCATTTCTGTCATAATCCCTTACGCATGCTCATATTTTTGTTCAGTCGAGAGATGCGAAAGGCAAAAGAGCAACCCTAGCTTAAAGACTTGTCTTGGAATAGGAATGCGACAAATGTGTAAAGCCAGCAATTGTTATATTACCTAACAAGAGGAGCCATTGTTAGTACAAGTCTCGGGAACTCAAGTATGGTTCATCCTCTCCAATTCCTCTTGTGCCTTTCATCGCCACGAGTTCTTGGTATCTTCCTCTTTATCTACTTATTTGATAGTTTTCTGTTTTGCTTTCTTTAATTTACTTTTTAAAATTATAAATATTAAGAGCGCGAGAATTTTATTATTGTATAATATGATATTTGCTGATTATTGTATATTACCTTCATAAAAATGAACTATTAATAAAAATAATAAATCCATGAAACCATAGAATTCTCATATTTATCATTCGTTTGTTCATTTACTTGGAACAAATTGACACATGTAGACATGATATGCTTTCATATGTTTGACTCTTAGAATTATGAAAATTATAATTTAAATTTAGAGCGTTGAATTTTGGTACAACATTTATTGACATCACGTTAAGGTTTCCTAGAAGTGACATAACAATTTCCTCGAAAGTTCTGAGAAATTTTTCTTTGCCAAAGAAATAACGATAAGCTTACAATATTCAACCACTACTAAATGAAGGGGAAAATTCTTCACGGATATAAGAATATTACTAGGCAGCACTACTTGTTCTTAGCATCAGTGTAGGTGACGGCAAACCATTAACTAATCAAGAGTTATGTTGTTAATGAAGTCTATTGCCATCTCGATTGTTGCTAGTGGTGCTACGTAGCATTATTTCGGATATTAATGTTAATTTTGAGTTTGTTGGTGGGTGTGAAATGAATATGGGAAGACGTAGAGAATTGGATGCACTTAGAACCAAACTGATAGATAAACTCTATCTAGTTGACTATAAATAGAAGTGTGGAACAGGAAACCTGCAAAGAAATGCTTCCAAGATTCTGTAAGCAACAGCATATACTCCAAGAAGTCAAGTATACTTTTAGAACTAGTATTGTTTTGGGTATTGTGTACGTTAAGAGCCCGTTTGTTTTTCATTTTTCATCCATAAAAATGAAAAATATGATCATTATCCATCGCATCAAGCCATTAATTTTGAATTTCTATATTTTGTGTGGGCCCAATAACGACTATATTTTTTATTCTCATTCTACAATAATGAGAATCAAAAGGGCGCTAAAACTTATTTTTAAAAATTTTACGAGCTAAATGAGAGCAGTCTGAAATCTGTACCGAGGTATTGAGATGGCAATACAAGCATGTTCTACATATAAATATTTCTAGAGATTTGTTGATGAAGTCTAAGCTTGGATTCCCCCATTCATCATTTGCAAATTTGTTGCACTTCAATGGTGTTAAAGCCTTTATTTAGTAGGGATCAAAATTAGATTTTTAGTAGATTTTGATAAAATTGATGAAATGTATGATTGAAAAATTGTGGTTCACATGAAGTATGTGGATATAATTAATTGTTGATTTTGATTTATATTAAATCTGATTTTTAAGAAAGTGAACAAATAAGGACAATGACTCAGAGAAGATATTACTCGAGTAGCGACACAACACTCGTGGTTGAGATTATAATATACTTTGCAGGAAGCTTCGTGGAAGAAGATGTAAAGATGGATCTGCAGCCTATACTTTTATCTGTGGATTTCTCATTTGTCTTGGCTGAGGAAAAAAATTAAAATAAAAAATAAATAATGTCTGCTTTTTGGCTATTAAAAATTTTAAATTAATTAATTCAATATGATATGGGAGCACATCGATACTCTGTATTCAAGTCTTGTCGTCATTTTTTTATAAGAATTGTCAAGATGATAGGCTAAAAGTGAGTTGGGGCTCGTTTGGTATGATTTTTACTTTTGCTTTTGCTTCTTATAGAAGAATTATAGAAAAAAGTTGCCTTAATTTTTATTTGGAAAATAACTTTTAAAAAAGTTAAATATTTTAGATGTATTTTTAGAGAAAACCACGATGGATCGGGTTTCTCTAAAAGCTCTTTTAATTACCAGAAGCATTTCATAAAATTAGTCAAACGAATCCAAAAGTAACTTTTGAATCTCAAAAACGTCTTTTATTTTTTCACAAGTCACGTTAAACGGGCCCTTAGACTTGTACATCAAAATATGTTGTTTTTTTTATAGTTTTTTACAAGTCTCAATGAAAAACTATTTTCAAAACGCGTTATCTAGATGGGATTTTATGTTTATAGATTGATGTACTAGTCAGCTATTTGAAAACCAAATTCCAATCCTTAGAAAATTGACAAATCAGAAAATCACAGCAAAAATCTATAAACGTACGGACGTTTAAGTCTCCAAGATTTCCAACGAATTTTAAATGTCAATGGGACCTCAATAATCTATTAGAAAAATATATAAATGAAAACTTGAATTTAGAGGGAAAACAAATGTCAAACCCTGTATATGTCATACAAAAGATTATTCAAATCAGTAGGCCGGAAAATTATAATCAGCATTTACTTTTGCAAAGATTCAGAAGATCCCAACTTGATTTAGCTTTAGATTAGTGGATAACATTAAATTTTACTCTACGGTCGTTGCGATACATTAAATCGTATACACAACTTGAAAGAGCCATACAAAGTACCAATTCCCCTTTCGGTACGTATGGGAAGATGAACGAGATAGTATTAAATAGTACAGAAGAATATACCGTCCATTCTATCCCATAATGTGAACATTGCCCTTCAGGTACGCAAGGCCGAAATTGAAACCAAAATGGTGTAAAGTAAAAGTGATCAATCGAAGGTTTAATTAGTGTATCAATATTCATACGTTGGACACATGACGAGGCATGAATTTGAGAGCGCTAATTAAGAAAATAGTATATATAAACAAATTATTTGTAGACTCCGAAGACACTTTTAGCATTGTCCTTTTAAACGTCTTCGGTAATCAAATGAGTACTTTTTTTTTTTAATTTCCTTCGCCCCAAGCTTATGTTAGTGATGCTTCTAGTTCTAGGGCTTTTTGGGACGTATATGATACTTCGGCATTGGAAAAAGGGACTATAATGAGCATTTTCAAAACTCAAATTCGCATGCTTTTGATCAAGAGATTTTGAGCCTCTTTCTCAGTTTGACTTCTCGATTTGTCTTCATGAATCAAAGCTTTAGCCCCGATCAATGAAAGGCATCCGTGTTCTCAGAAATATTTAGATGAAAAGTGAAAATACCAAGGAAAAATATGGATGGCTGCTTCTCATATGGTACAATAGTTTTTTTTAAGAAAAAAAAGTCAAAACAAGCACAATTTTTTACAATCAAACCTTTGAAGAATCAGAAAGGGACATCATATTCTTAAACTCCTCAAAATCAAGAACCCCATCTGAATTTATATCATAAACTTTAATCATTTTTTTGCAATCCCCATTACCATTTTCCAACAACCCTAATCTTAATAACACACTTTGAAGCTCTTCAGATGATATAAATCCATCCCCATTTATATCAAAAACCTTAAAGGCCTCGAGCAAATCACTTTCCAAACTGTCACAATTTCCTTCTTTATTTTCACTTATTTTCGACTTCATTACAGCCTCGTAGAAGAAGAAAAAATCAAAATAATCAAGATTTGTTGATCCCACAAGGTTTTGCAGCTCTCCTATGGTTGTATGGTTTCCAACTCTATCAAGAAGTTGTTGCAGCTCGTAAATGCTTACGTGGCCTTCCCTCTTCCTGTCGAGGCTTTTGAAAATCCGGTCGAGATCATTGACGCTGAGACGAGACATGAAACAATGAACTAAGTCTTGTTCCCAATAAATTTTGTGTCGACTTTCTAACTTCTATATTGCTTAATTATGAAGCTTGTGCATGCACATATATACTAGTGGGACGAGTTGAATAAATTGTTTATGGAGATCAAATAGCGTTTGAAAAGTATTTATTTTTGAAGTTTAAGCTAAACTTCTTCGAAAAAGACGTTCTGAAAGCCATCTTTATTTTGCGAAAATGAGAAAATTCTTTAGTTTGTACTTATTTACCAACCAATTAAATATGAGTTGAAATAAGAATGGCCTCTTGTTTGATTTGAAGGATGAATTTGAATGAGTGAGAAAAACGAGGAAATGTCTTTCTACTTGGGGGGGAAAAAAAAAAATTCTATTTTCTACTCTTTGGTTTGGGAGGTATAGTATAATAAGTGCATTTTGCGTACAAGGTATTCGAGTGAATTGGACGGTATAATAATAATTTTTTTTTTCTCGTGAAAAGTAGGGTAAAAAATTCTTTAATTTTAAGTACGAAGAGACTCTCTGAACTCACTCGCTATTCTTAATTAAAAATGATTGTACTTAATAAGTTACAAATTTTAATACACTAGAACTTCAATTATTCAAATCATATTTGAATTGATTAACAATGAACTTATACAAAAATTAAGTTAAATAAGAGATGACGAGAAATCAATAAATGTTTATTGGAAAAAAGAAAGACGAAATAGAAAGCATTGTTGGAGTATAAAAAAAATTACTCTCTAAATCTAAAGATACCATCTATTATGCAAAAGATGATCTTTATAAATCCAGAGTTTCTTGGACATGCTAAAAAATCGGACCAAATATCTAAATTGAAAAATAGAAAAGTAACATATTTGTAACTTATATAGTGGCCCGGATGGAAAACATTTTCCATTCTTTCCGATATTTACTTTCTTACAACTATAAAACATTTATGAGCATATTTGGTACGCAGAATAAAACAAATTTTATTTTTTTGATAAAGACGGTGTCACTACGTGGAATATTACATATCAACTATCGTATAATTCCATAAAACTCAACTTTGAATAATGGGAAAAGATAATATTACAACTTTAAATGTGATGCATGATATTTTGAAATTGTAATTCTAGTACGATAATCTTACGACCAAAAAAATTTCATCCACACATGCTTTTGTTTAAAAGTCTATAGGACCATAATCTCTAGTCTTCGGTTGTCTATATCGTGACTCAATTAAATAAAAAGACCAAGTCATCTTCTAAAGTGGGCGCATAACTTTCTAAGTAGTTTAATATATATGTACTCTTCTCAAAAAATACATTTTTAATAGCAGAAAATTGTAAAAAATTTGTAGTCAAAATACAAGTTGCTAGTCAACTATTGTAATTTCAGGAAAATGAGTAGATACTTATTATTTATATTATGAAAAAATATATTTAGGAAAATGAAGAACAATTACTTGAGGATAAGAATATTGATAGCTAGAAGATATCAATTTATTTTTGTATTCTAATATATATTTTTCTACAAAGCCATAATACTTCGTAATATTAATGAATTGAGCGATATGATTTTAGTGGGTAAAAATTTATTTGTAGTCTAATCTACTTCCAAAATATAGTTTTTTTTTAAAACAAAATAATAGTGAATAAATGCCGCATTAACAAATACCAGATGTACACATCGGATGGACAACTAACTTACCATATGAACAGAAATATCGGATGGACGCATATCGGCTGTACAACTAACTTACCGTATGAACATAATACATACCGGCAGTGCAACTAATTTACAGTATGACAGAACACGTAACATATGGACGCATACCGTATGTAGAGAAGAGATTACTAAATTTATGTCAAAATCAGTCATTCAATTTATTTATTTTTTCCAACAATTTTGTTGGTATATCGTCTTAAAGTAATTTATAATTAGTCTACATATACTTGTTTATACATATATCTTTTTACTTGTAGGACCAATAAATAATCGATATTTCTTGTTGGTCGATATATTGTCGTTACTATAGGTATAAAACGTTTATTGATATATATGTGTGTATTTGTGCTTAAATTCTAACATCGTGTTTCACAAAACATGCCAAGCACGACCACTATATTTTTCTCATCAAAATGGAGACTCACTTTGGAAATAAATACGTAACAAAATGACATGTTGAGCATCTAGGAATCTTCATTATATTTTACTATAAGCATTTGACCTTTCACCAGCCAAAGATAAAAAGAAATTTAAAAGCTTTGGGTAAACGTTGAAATATTATAAATATACAACCGATATGACGAAGAATGTGTTCG